GATGAATCCTTCTGTCTGACCTCAGTCTGCTCAGTGATTAGTCCATGTCCTCAGTCTCGTTCTGTGTTCTATCCATATCCTCAGTCTGCTCTGTGATTGGTCCATGTCGCCAGTCTGCTCTGTGATTGGTCTATGTCTCCAGTTTGACCAGTGATTGGTCCTTGTCCTCAGTCTGACACTGGTTTGATGTGGTGCTGTAATAGTGTGAGCTCCACATGAGTCCACAGCAGGGTTCGAATTACAAAGTGGCTTTCGGGGAAGCCCTATTTTCCGATCCTCCCTGACTAACTCTAACGCTTTTGGTGCGTGTTCGGGCATTTTAAAACAATAGTTTTACAGTAAACCTATTGTTTACTTAGTAAACCGTTTACTTCAAAACCCAAGCATCAGACGCTGTTAGTTGTCAGTGTGAGGGCAAACAGCTCTGTCCACGGTTCTGAATCAACCACGCTTAGGCCAACATCATGCAAATCATGATAAAAACAGAATAACTCACATAACAATCATAAAAAAATACTCAATAATATATAGGATTAGGGCCAATCCTCACAAACACACAGATCAAGTAGGCTAATTCCATAGCTCTTACCTTAAATCAGAAGTGACCACAGAGGCCTGGGTTCTTCTGTCTTTGCTTTCCGTCCTGTAACCCAGGATGTTGAGGGTCGGTGACCGGCTTTAATCCAAGATGATACAAAAGGCAGAGGGTCAAATTGCTCCAAAGGGGGTCCATTCAGGTCCACGAAGAGAAGCGAGGAGAGGCTTTGTTCACGCAACTTGTTGCGATACTTGCTGTCAGTAGAATTCACTGCAGAAAATCCCCTCTCACACTCAGCTGAGGAGGGCAAGTAGGTCAGACTTGCTGTTTGAAGTTTGACAAGCGTTTTCCCTGGTGCTCTGTTTTGCAATTTAAAGTCCCGGAACTCCTCGACAGCCTCTCGGGCCGGTTCTCCCAGTATTTTTGCCAATGCTCGAACTTCAGTTTCTCCATATAGGATACGGGCGCTATGTTGCTGTGGCCAAAAGCGTTTATCCAGCGTTTTCAGCATCTGGACAAGGTCCGGTTCGGGCAGTCTCTTCTTTAGGCTGTTGATAATAGACTGGTTGAACTGAAGACGGTTTATCTTCGGCCTGCTCTCTGAAAGCTCAACATCTTTGAACAGGCCTGTCGATATGCGCTGTTCGGCTTTTTGTGTGGATTTTCCTCCGCTTGCTTTCATGGCTGTCAATACCTCAATGGTCTGCTGAATGTGGCAACTTGCATCAACTAAAGATGTTTGTTTGCGTTGCAGTTTTAGCGACAGATTTTGTAATTCTCGCAGGACATCCTTCATACATGCCAAATCAGCCACAAAACCTGTGCTTGAAAGGAGTTTGTGCAGGCCCCTGAATTTCTGCCTCTCTGTGTCGCAGCGAGATGTGTCTTCCATGGCTGTTCTGAATTGGTGCGCCAGTGCCGGATAATCGTTCCATACTGCCTTCACAGTGCGAAAACTACTAGCCACCCAACGAATTGTAAAGATTTGACCTATTTTTAGGATTTGCATGTTCAAACCTTTAGCTGCCTCCTGGAGCAAACGGGCGTTTTTTGATGACTGGTTATAGAGCGCATAAAGTTTTGAAATAAAAAACTCAAATTAGTGACGAGTCCGCCAACTCTGCCCATCAGTACCGCTGCTCCATCCGTTGCAATGCAGATAAGATTTTTTCCCAGAAACTCATCATCCAGTCCCGCTTGTCTCAAGCTTTCCCTCAAACTTTTGTATATCGATTCGGCATCCGTGCCTTCTGAAAGCTCAACGATATCTAAAAAAACATTGTCCACCTCCCCTGTTCCTGTCATGTCACACCGCACATAAATTATCATATAAGACAGGCCATGAACTGTGCTCTCATCTAATGTGATACTGATTCGTGATCCCAGTTCTTTTACTTTTGAAACAAATTTAGCTCTCATTTCACTGGCGATATGTCCGATTATTTCAGCACAAGCATGGTCCGATTTGTGCACATTTCCCACGTTTGCACCATTAAGTTTTTGAAGGGACATTACAGCAGGGAGCTTTCTGTAGGCCATTTTTTCCTTGGCCACCATATAAGCAGATCTGAAAGACGTAGCTGTTTCTTGCATTAAATGAGCATTTACTTCAAGCACCTTGTTTGGGAGCACATCCTTTTCCCTCATCTCCGAAATCTCAACCGCTCTTTTGTGTGCCAAACTGTCTCGATGCTTGTAAATCTTTTTCCGCAGGTTATTCTGTGACTCGCTGCTGACCTCTCCATTCATCCATTCCTCTGACAGATGTACTCCTGTTGCTCTTTCGGCGAGCAACAGGTTTTTTGCCTCCATGCATACTGTACATCCTAACTTCTGATTTTTGGAGTAGAGCCATGTATTCCTGGTTCTCCACTCACTCCATTGCTTTGTTGTCCAGTTGAAAGGTGGTGCATGACCGCCAGGTCCGCTGCAGGTCACAGCGGTGGTTTCTGGTGCCCAAGTCTCGCTATCCTCGGTGGCGGTGCTGTCACTAGCAGCAGCAAGCGGCGGCGGCGGTAACACCGGCAAGATAGTTGTTGCTGGTGCGCTGTCATCACTCCTCTTTGTTTGTTTTGTAAATCCAAATTGACCGAGGTTTGGCTGCTTTCTTTTTGACATTCTTACTAATTCCAAAAAACGAATAAAGTATGTTGAAGTTAAGCTAACATTCAAATACCAACTCAGTGAGAAGTTCAAGTGTTGACGTAAAAAACTGAAATATTATGTTCCGAAATAGTAATGTAATGAGCGAATAAACACACAGCATTGACACATTTTTTATATCATAATTTATTTCAGGAACCTTAATGTACAGAAAATCAAAATCTATATGCGACACAAAAAATGGACAGTGTTTTAGAGCTCCCCCTAAAAGTCTCAAAGTAGGCTTTCAGGGGAGCCCAGGTCCTTTTCAGGGGAGCCGAGCTCCCCTTAGCTCCCCCGTAATTCGAACCCTGGTCCACAGTGAGGAACAAATCAAAAGTGTGTTTCTCTTTGGAGGTTTCTACCAACACAGACGAGTAAAGCAAACAGCATGATATCCATAAAAACAGCCCAAATTAAGACGCATTGAGACAGTGACTCAAAGATCAATGTACTGTAGAAAACTCGGCATGAGTTTTGTGACGATTGGGCATTTTGTATCAGCCTGATGCTTGAGCTGGTTTCAGAAATTAGCTGATTAGCTGGTACCTTTTTAGGCAAGGCATGTTTATTTGTATTGCGGCGTTCATACACAAGGCAACTCTAAGTGCTTAACTAAACAAAAAGCATTCACACAAAGGTTTCAAATAATAATTAGTCACAGTAAATTATAAAAAGTGAACATACAATCCATCAGTTGTCGCAGCGAAACAGAACTATTTTAAATTAATTAGTTAATTTTATATTATTTATAGTACAGAGCTATACTTAATATTCACTTATGTTGCCTAGTCCTACTGTTCTGTAGGAACTTGTAATGCAACACTGACATTTCTATACTACTGGATATACTGAATCTACTACTGTATATTCTATACTACAAATACAGGATCTCATCATCTAGATTTACAAATATTTAGTAGGTGGTTACCTTTTTTGCTTCAAGCACAAACAGACATCCTGGCATCAGCTCTGTCCTCTGATTGGTTGACTGTACTTCCTGGTTCTCAATTGATCGACTGTATTTCCTTTCTTTACGCATGCGGTTCTCAAAGCCGTATGCGTTTCTGCGATATCTGCGATTGGAGTTCTTTGTATTGATTGTTGTTTTTTCAAAAGAAAGACAGATACTAACTAGGGCCAAGACTTTAACGCGTTAATTAAGATGAATTCATTACACACAAAAATGTGTGTACAAAAATTGACACATCTCATGTGACACATTTCATCTTTTATTTTTTTGCACCGCAGAACGGTTATTTCTCAGTTGGTAGAGCATTGGCCTTTGGGCCTGAAGGTCGTGCGGGTTCAAGCCCACCATGAGACCTACTTCACGACTCCCATTGATGTCTGCTGTCGTTGTGTCCTTGGGCAAGTCACTTAACCCCACTTTGGCTGAAACCCCCGCTGAAAGATCAACTTGGCTCCTGTGGACTCACCTCCTGCTGGAGGATCAGTGAGGGGCTGGTGCTAAGTGTACTGGGTGCAGCTCTGACTGTCAACCCCCCGACCCAGGAATGGATTAAGGGGAATAAAATGGATAAATGGATGGATGGAACGTTTTTCACGGGATGAGTTTTAGGCCATGTCCACACGTAGCCGGGTATTTTTAAAACCAAAATTCCCCCCCCCCTCATAACATTCCAAACATGTCCGGTCTCTGACATCCTCTCCTGTGTTGGGGGAAAAACACAGAAGTGGGCAGAGCTTTGATGCTGACGCCGGTCCTTCTGTAGCGGCACTTTTACAGTCATAGAAGAAACTCAGGGTGAAGACATGTTTACAAGCACTGTGTCCCCCGTCCTCAGCTTTAGCTCCTGGTTTAGCTCCTGTTTTGGTTGTTTTCGATTGTGAGTCCCTGTGATCACTTTGCTGCTCTCCGATGTGGGGCGAGGATGCTCGCTGCTGCGAAAACGCAAAACTCCGGTTATCTCTGTCTACACGCAAATGCATATAGAATTTTCACAAATCTTCACTTTGCCTGGAGTTTTTTTATATATTCGTTTATGATGCGTTGTCATGTGGATGACAGGTGCAAACAAAGACAAATATCTGCAGTTTATCAGATACCCGTCTACGTGTGGACGGGGCCTCAGACGGACCATAGTGGCACAGTGAACATGAACAAAGAAGCTCAGATGACCGCGTTGGTTGGCCCCGTGGATGGGGAAAAAAAACTTCTCACTGTTCTCAGGTCAAATATTTATATGCGCTTAAAATGCTATTAATTAATTACAAAGCTTTTATTTAAATACTTTTTTTTTTTTTTAAATCAAGTCCCAGCCCGAATACTAACTATATCTTGTATGTTTGCCTACAGAGCTACATCTAAAAGCCTTGGAGCTCAATAAGACCTTGTCGCGTAAAGACGGGACTCCGGACAAGAGCCTGAGTCAGATGAAAGACGAGATCTCCTCCATGTTGGACGAGATGAGAGCGCGGCGACTGGGAGCACAGAGGGGCACTGCAGACCAGGAACTGGAGTGAGTTCATTCATACTCTAAAGCGCTGTTTCCACCAGCTCCACTCTGCTCTACTGTACTTTACTGTACCCTGCTCTTCTCTATTCTACGCCACTCTACTCTGCTCTACTCTACTGTACTGTACTCTACTCTGCTATACTATACTATTCTATACTCTGCTCTACTCTACTCGACTCTACTGTACTCAGTAACAACAGGCATGTGAGAACTGTTATGATTAAAATCCAAGACAAGTTTACCTGGTCCCAGTTTAGATTCAGATTCATTTATTTTGCCATTTGCAGTAAAACCACATTGGAATACTTCCTCAAAAGTCCCGAGAGTGCACAAGTACATAAATAAAACAAGGTTAAAAATACATAAAACAGGAAGCAATTGACACTGTAAAATCAATCAGTCAATCCAGCTTTAGAAAAAAAATCAATAAACTATAATCAATAAACTTAATTCTTGGGACAGATTTACTATTGTCTGTACACAGAGTTCAGAGCAATCAATGCTCTTTCTGTAAGCAAACTGGAGCATGTCAACGCTTTGGATCTGGCTCTTAATGAAGTCCAACACAAGCCGCTCAAAAGTCTTCATGAGAAGGCAAGGAAAGGGAAGTTTATTTGTATAGCACAATTCTTACACAAGGCAACTCAAAGTGCTGAACTAAACAAGATAGAAACAATAACACCAGGCATTAAAATCATAAATAATCACAATACATAAAAAAGATACAAACATAAAATCCCTCAGTTGTATGTACAGCTAAACAAAACAGTTTTTAACCTGGATTTAAACATTGTCAGAGAAGAGGCCTGTCTCACATTTTGAGGAAGATTGTGAGTCACAATGAAGTCATGATGAAGTCACCCTGATTGAAACATGCAAGGGATCAGCAGATTCAAAGCGACAGTAAACATTGTTAAAGGTACACTGTGTAATTTTAGTGCTATCTAGTGTTGAGATCTTATATTGCAGTCCAATATAGTACGGAAGCCTTTGAGTTGAGGAGCACTGTCTCAACTCTCAGTCATTCATTCAGACTGCCAAGGAAAGAATACTTTAGTTTGATAAATGGCCGGATCTCTCCAAACATCTCGGGGACTTGACAGTCGCGTGGAGGCGACTTGTAAACAAGACCGTGTTCAGACACGATGCACCCTGCACAGAGGCTCGTGTGTAAAAAAAAAACTTGTGCGTAAAAGGTACTTTTTTTTCTTCTTTACACACACACAAATCTTTCTGCGCACACACAAATCTTTTTACGCACACACAAATCTTGATACGTACATACAAATCTATTTACACACGCACAAATATTTCTTTTACACACACACAAATCTGGTTACGCACGCACAAATCTTTTTACGTACACACAAATCTGGTTACGCACACACAAATCTGGTTACGCACGCACAAATCTTTTTACGCACGCACAAATCTGTTTACGCACACACAAATATTATTGAAACAATAATAGCTCCATAGTAACTTGTTACTTTTATAGTGGAGTAACTCCGTTAGTAACTCAGATACCTTTTGGGAGAAGTAACTAGTAACTATAACTAATTACTTTTTCAAAGTAACGTGCCCAACACTGTTGATAGGTAGTTTTTGTAATTAATTATAACATGATGAGTGTAGTGAACAAGCTTATAAAAAGATTAGGGGGGACAGTAGCTCAGTTGGTAGAGCATTGGCCTTCAGGCCTGAAGGTCATGGGTTCAATTCCCACCTCTACACCTTCTCCACCGACTCCCACTGATGACTGCTGTCGTTGTGTCCTTGGGCAAGACACTTAACCCCACTTTGCCCAAAGCCCCCACTGAAAGATCAAGGCTATGCTCACACTCAGAGAGCAGCCGTCCTCCTGTGGACTCACCACCTGCAGAGGCTCAGTGAGGGGCTGGTGCTATGAGACCTGGGTGGCATCTCTGACTGCCACCCCCCTGACCCAGAAATGGATTAAAGGGTAGAAAATGGATGGATGGATGCCTGTAGGTAATAACCAGCTACAACAGCACCATCTGCTGGTGTACTGCTAGAACAACCACATTACACTTACGAATCTTTTTGACACACGCTAACCGGCAGAGGTGTGTCAAAAAGAGATTTGTGTGTAAAACGGAGCCTGTGCGTAGCACTTAGGCTTTTTTCCGTTCTTCTCTTCGTACAACGTGGTTATTTACACACAGATTGTTCTGCTACAGATACAAATGTCAAATTACACACACACAAATCTGGGTACAGACGCACACAGTCCAAGTTACACTTGCGGATCTGCGAAGGCAGGACTGCGTCAAAAGATTCGTGTGTAAAAAAAAAACTTGTGTGTAAAACGTACTTTTTTTTTCTTTACACACACACAAATCTTTCTACGCACGCACAAATATGTTTACGCACACACAAATCTTGATACAGTAGGTCCCATTTCGTTTTGTCGTCTTCATTCACGCTTTTCGGGAATCACGCAGCTGCGTGAAAAATATTACATCTTATCGCCACAAGGTGGCAGGTTAAGTCCGCTTTAGCTCTGCCAGCGACTTAGACGCTCAGGTATCATACTGCGTGCAAACCTGTCTAGCCCAGAGATCCTATGTTGGCCGAATGGTTAACATTGAAGACTGGGACCTGGAGAACCCAGGTTCGATTCTTGTCTGAGGCAATTTTGGTTGCACATCTTTTGGTTGCTTGTGTGCAATTACGTAACGTTATCAGATTGTTATCTTCTTTCCTTGTCAAAAGGAAATGTGTAAAATTGGCTGTGTGTTCAAGCCGTGCATGTGAATGTATGTGTGTTGCTATTGAATGCTTTTTCAAATAACAGACAACATATACATATTTTGTACTAATGTTAATCTTTATAATTAAATTGCATTAACGTATATATGTGATGCGATCTGGGAAAACCCGTCGGATGTCACGCTGGCACGTTCCGAGTAAACAGTAAAAATAGGTCGATTGTCATTTTTTTGGCAAAATTGTTTTTTCATTAAACAATTATTATATAACATCTTGTCTTTATTGTCTGAAAAAATCTAGGTGAAATTCACTAGTGTTATACGTTAAATATTGTGATATGTTTTGATAAACCGAACGTTACGTTACATCCTCCGCTCTGGCCCCGGGAGCAGATGCTGTGACCCCCGCTCTGACAGCTCAGTGAACGCACTGCCGTCTGGGCTCCGAGCGCGGACCATAGACACGCGAACAGAACCACAGACAGGACCATAGACACCCGAACAGAACCACAGACAGACATTTACATTTACATTTACATATACGCAGACAGAATCCAGACAGGCGGAGACACGCGGATCATAGATACTTGGACAGAACCAGAGACACACGAAGCATAGACACTCGAGTCGGACAGGTCCATTTGTTTTATTTGTGTTTAAAGTTACCTAAGTTTCTCCTTGCATTAAAAATGCTTGGTGGTTGTGGATATTTAGACTGCGTGATTTGATAGAATAATACTGGCAATGTCTAATACATATCTAATTTTCAGTAAATTATAAAGAGAAAGAAAAAGAAGAGGAGCTCAAAATTCAATCCATTGAATATTGAAAGAATCAATACATTCTTGATTTTCGACTAAATGGAATACATCACAACTGTTGGTGCATTTTTCAGAACAATTAGTTCAAACTGCAAAACCTGGTGGATAACTTGCCAAAGTGCATCACCTTCTCAAAATGAAAAGTTTATTCCTCAAAAGCAAGTCTTCATGTCAATGAAATTGTCTGTGTCCTGACAAGTCCTGACAACATTGAGTATGAACAACAGTCAAATGACTTAGTCATGTTTTCATTGTGACACTTTACTCTCTCTGCTTTTTTCAAAGCAAAAAATCAGATCTTGGTGAGCACTAAACACTGTACAGCTGAATACTACAGTAAAGTTACACACGACTGTATTTAGTGAGAGTAAAATACACATTTATATGTACTGTGTGTGTGTGTGTATGCATGTATGTATCGATGTATGTCTTTCACATATTTACTGCATTTGCTCTCTGCAGTTCTACAGCATTGTGCAACAAAAATACAGTCACATACATGTATGTACATAGAACAAACATACAGAATATCATTATGGTAGAACTGTGACAAATGTAAACAATATAAAACACACCTTGTCGTGTTAGGAAAAATGTTCAGGATGTAAAAAGATAAAGTATTGTATGAAATCAGATTGACAGATTTTGGTTTTGAACGAGTTCAACAGTTTTGTATGTGATGACCAAAGCCATGAAATGAGCTTTAGTTTTACAGGGAGAAACTATTCAGTCGTGATACGTTTTATTTTGACTAACAGGACAGAAGCAAATGATGATGTTATAAAACAGAGAATTGTATGAAAGTAACTGATACATGAACAAAAGCATTTGTAATCTGTTCAAACGAGAAACTGCTGCGATTATGTCACACGTGACTCAGTGTTTTGTATGTTTGTTCTACGTAAATACTGTATGTGTGCTATTTTTGTTGCACAATGCTGTAGAATTGCAAAGAGCATATGCAGTAAATATGTGAAAGACATACAGTACATACATATATATCTCACTAAATACAGTCACAATGAAAACATGACTAAATCATTTGACTGTTGTTCATAAACACTGGTGTCAGGACGTATTCTTTTGAGACACAGACCGTTTCATTGACATGAAGACTTTCTTTTGAGGAATTAAGTTCATTTTGAGGAAGTGACTTTTTAGCAAGTTATCCATGAGGTTTTGCCGTTTGCACTAATTGTTCTGAGAAATGCACAAACTGATTACAAAATATATACTGTGCATTCTCAGGGGACACAGCACTGCCATGGCATCTCTTCTGCATTGTCCAAATGTGTATCTGTGGACTATTGTAGTACTCTCTTGCAGCTCTCCCTCCCCCGCACGAATAAACAAAGCCCACCCCAGGCCCCTGCTGTTATAAGTCATTACCTAAATTTGCAAATCAATACATGCAAATGTTAGCAGCCAACCTAGCAAGTTAGCTCCTTCT